ACCTCTCCACAAAAAAACTAGTGTGTAGTGTAGATGCTGTGTTTGCATGCCACAGGCAGTCTTTAGGAGAACTGCTGCTTTACAAGTTTGCCTTTGTAGTCAGGGAGGAGGGAGCTGTCCGAAAACTGAGAATTCTTGTATTCTCTCCCTTTTCAGCCTATAATTTATCCTTTAGTTTCAGTTCCTCCCATGTGTAATTCTTCCTTTTTTTTTAAAATTTAATTTTATGTATATGTGTGTATTGTCTGCATGTAGGTAAATGCACCCATGTCGTGCAGTGCCTGCGGAGGACAGAAGAGGCTGTTGGATCCCCTGGAACTGCAGTTAGGGACAGTTGTTAGCTGCCATGTGGGTGCTGGGATTCGAACCTAGGTCTTCTGCAAGAACAGCCAAGTGCTCTTAATCACTGAGCCATCTCTGTAGCTCCCCCCATTTTTTAAATATTTTATTATTTTTATTTTGTGTGTATGAGCCTATTGCCTGCATGTATGTGAGTGCACCCATGTTGTGCAGTGCCTCAGAGGTCAAAAGAGGGCATTGGATTCCACCATGTGGGTGCTGGGAATCGATCCTGGGTCCTCTGCAAGAGTGGTCAGTGCTTATAACTGCTGAGCCATCTCTCCAGCCCCCCCCCCCCCCTTTTTTAAGATAGGGTCTTATGCTGGCTCTTAATCCCAGCACTTGGGAGGCAGATGCAGGCGGATCTCTGTGAGTTCAAGGCTAGCCTGGTCTACATAGTTCCAGGCCAGCTGTGATTACAGGGAGACCCTGTCTCAAAATGAAAAGAAAACAAAAAAAAAAAAAGATAGGGTCTTATTAGCTCAGCTTGACCCCTGTGGCATCAGGACAACAGAGTTGAGACCTTCTTGCCTCACTGATGTGTATCACCATGCCCAGCCTGAGTCTATAGTCTTTTTTAAAAAATATTTTATTGATTATTTTTATTTTATGTGTATGAGTGTATTGCCTACATGTACGTGAGTGCACCCGTGTCGTGCAATGCCTTGGAGGTCAGAAGAGGGCTTTGGATTCCCCTGGAACTGGAGTTAAGGATGGTTTGTAGCTGCCATGTGGGTGCTGGGAATTGAACCCGGGTTCTCTGCAAGAGCAGTCAGTGCTCTTAACCACTGAGCCATCTCTCCAGCCCTGGCAGTCTTAAACCTTCCCTGTCTCCTGTACTATGGATCGAACCCAGGGCCTTACACATGCTGTGCAAGGGCTTTACCGCTGAACTACACCCCCGTTGCTTCTCTGCAGTCTTAAATTTTTCAAAAGCTTGATAGTTTGACTTTATTGTGTGTGTTCTTTCCTGTTGTATTAATAAATCAAAATAGTGCTAACACTTTAGGTTTGCTTCATGTAGCTTTTCTGTTTTAGTCACTGAATCCTATGTTATTGGCATTTTATTTATTTGGAGACAGTCCTACAGGCCCAGGCTGGCCTCTTAACTTACAGTTAAGTGCTGGAATTGCAAGTGTTTGTATCACACCCAGCCATTATTGGCATTTTAAATTCGAAGATTTGAGATCTAGAAATATTAACTTGTCCACAGTCTTATGTGTAGGTAAGGGTTAAAAATAGGCAGTGTAATCTGAATCTTCATCTAATCTCCTGGTAGTGTTTAAAATTATATACACTGGCAAGGAGTATTTTTATTTTATTTTTTAAAATCTTATCCTCAATTTTTCATCTTGAGCAATGTTTTAATTACTTTTCTTACTGCATTGACAAAATGCCTCACAAAAACAACGGAAGGAAAGAAGTTTATTTTGATTTGCAGTTTGAGGGTCCACTCCACCATGGCAGACGAGCAGCTGCTCACAGTGCACCTGCAGTTGGGAAGCATAGAGAGATGCTGGGGCTCAGCTCACTTCTTCATTTTACTCCTTCAGAGACCCTAGTCCATGTCGTGGTGCCACCCATATTCAGAGTAGGTTTTCCTCTCTCACCATCATGTCCAGAGGTTTGATTCATATGTGATTCCAGGTCTTGTCAAGTTGATGGTCAATATTAATTCTTACAAGTCACCCCTTGTCAACTCGACACCCAAATATATCACTTTAAGCCCTAACCTTTACTCCTTGTCCCTATAGGCTCATGGTTACCTCATAATGCAAAATGTATTCAGTCCGGCTCAAAGTCCTTATAATCTTTAACAGTTCAATACCATTCTAAAGTGTAAGTTCAAAGTCTCTTCTGAGACTCAGTCCCTTCACCTGTGAGCCCCTTTAAAATCAAAACCCAAACTACATATGTTCAATAGAAAGTGACACAGAATGAGTAGATCCATTTCAAAACGGAGGAATGGGGGTGTAGCAAGGAAGATTTGGACCAGAACAGGACTGAAACCCAGCGGGTCAAACATCAAGTCCTGCTGCTCCATGTTGGACATCTGGGACTTGTGATGGAATCGCCTATGTTCCAGAGGACCTTCTGGCTTTGCTCTGGAGGGCTTGGGTCTTCCTGTCCCTGCAGCTCTGCCACCTGCAGCACATGTAGTCTCTCTCAAGTCAGCTTCACTCTGTGCCTGGTGCTTTCCTTGGCAGATAACCCACAGCCCTTGATATTCTGGGGTCTCCAATGCAGCTTAGGCTTCAGCTTCACAGCTTCAAGAATGGCCTTTGTGGGCATCTTGGCAGCGAATCCAGCCCTGCCACACATTGCCTGGTCTCATGGTCTTCTAGAACCTTGGCTTAGGCCTGCATGCCCTTTCACTTTTGCACCCTTCATGCCTGTAAAACTATGAGTACAGCAGTGCTAAGTTCTGCTGCCAGTTGGGGATGTAGCCTGGTCCCTTTGGACCACTGAGTTGACCGCTGTGTGCTGTTGTGTTGACTCCACGGAGTTACTTCCCTGTTGACAGCTTTTGAGCCAGGACCCTTTCGGTAGCATTCTCAGTTGCCTTCTCTCTAAGTGATTTGGACTTTTACAAGCTGTAGCACTAGGTGGTGGGGTCTTCCCTCAGGGCCCCTTTCCTCTTCTTCCAGTGCTAGTCTCTACTGGTTACTGTCTCCTTTCTCAGCCACATGCCTGTCTGCAACCTACTTCTAAAAATTTCACATTTATATGTGTGTGTGTGTGCGTGCGTGTGGTGTAGTGTCCATGTGCATACATGTGGAGGTCATAGGAACTTGTGGAAATTGTTTTTTTCTTACTATAATGTAGAAATCTGGGCTTGAACTCTGGTCTTCACACTTGGCAGCAAACGCCTTTGCCTGCCGAACCATCTCATATACCTCTTCTCTGCAACCTTATAATTTGGTTTTCTGGCCAGGTCTACATAGTCAGTTCCAGGCCAGCCCAGCTGGGGCTACAGGGAGACCTTGTCTCAACACACACACACACACACACACACACACATACACACACACACACAAAATAGCAGGACATACACACACACACACACACACACACACACACACACAATATTCGCTTTCTGAGACACTGTATATCCTTGGCTGGCCTGGAGTTCGCTCTGTTGACCAGGCTGTCCTCGAACTCAGAGAGATCTACCTGCCTCTGCCTCCCAAGTGCTGAAATTAAAGCCTGTGCCACCGTATGTGGCTTGCCTGCAACTTTAAATTCCCTCTTTCCCAATAAATAACTTATTTTCCCTAGAATTTTGCTCTACTTGTTCTCTCTCACTGTAGCCCTTGGTAAGAGTGCTGAGCATTAATCATGACACAGGCTGGATGCTGTCTAGTTTGAGATTTTCTCTTAACAAATCTGTTCATTACTTGAGTTCAGCCTCACTCAAGTTTTTAGGACATGGGCAGCTGCAGCCAGGTTCTTTGCCAGAGTCTAACAGGAGTGGCATGGAGGCTTTGCTCCTCCTGAAACCTCATGAGCTGGTTCTCCATGTATGTCTCTTGGCATTCTGGTCTTCCAAGTTCCCACCAGAATTTTCCATTAAGCTCTTGGCAGCAAACGCCAAGGGAATGCTCCATTAAGCTCTGTTTACAACATTCTGGGGCTTTTTGAGCCCAAAGTTTTAACCTCTTTGATACTCTTCCTATGAACCAGTTTCAAAGGCTTCAGGGCCACATGGTTAGGTTTACCATTGCAACAACCTCACTTCTGGTATCAGTTTTCTGTAGTAATTACTTTTCCCATTGCTGTGACAGAATACTGGACAACAGTGTAAGGAGGAAAGGTTTAATTTGGTTCACAGTTTGAGGGCACAGCCCATCATGGTGGGGAAGGCATGGCAACTGGAGCAGGAGGCAGCTGGTCACGTTGTATCCAGTCAGGAGGCAGAGAGAGATGAATGCTGGTGATAGCTCACTTTCTTTTCATTCAGCCCAGGATCCCAGCCCATGGTATGGTACAACCCTTAGGGTGGGTCTTCCTACCTCCATGAATCTAACCCAGAGACTTCCTCATAGACATAGCCAGAGCTTTTCTTCTAGACTATCTAGATCCTATCAAGGTGACTGTTTTAACCATCACAGCTACCATGTAGATGTAACTAAGGAATCAATCTCCAAAGTTTTTAAGTAGCAAACTCTGTTATTCCAAGTCAACTTTCCCCTCCTTGTGTTTGTGTGTGTGTGTGTGTTTCTATGATTTGAATCCAGGGCCTGAAGCACACGCTAGCCCCATATTACACCTCAAACCTTTGAAAGAAGGTTTAATACACACTTGGCTATTTAACATTGTTTGACAGCTATGGATACTTGCAGAATGTATTATGAAAGCTATTGGAGGTATACTGTAGTACGGTGGGCTTTTCTTCTCTCTTCTCCTCCCCTTCCTGTTCCTCCCTTTTCCTTTTCTGTTGTATAATTAAACCAGTTGGGAAGTTTAATTAGGGAGGGAGGCTTGTGTTTATTTAAATTAGAAAACAGCAATTACAGACAAATGCAGAGAATAGAATATTCAGCTTCACTAATCAGACCTAACAAACACAAAACTTGTCATTTTGGCCTTAAAAGTATTTCTCGGTGTATGTGTTTGTGTTTATGTGTGTTTATTATGTCTGCCTGCCTGTGCCATGGAGCATGTGTGAAGGTCAGAGGAAACGTCAGGGATTGGTCCTCCCCTTTTACCTTGTTTGAGCCAGGGTCTGTCCTTAGGACTGCTGGGATTATAGACACATGACCTCCACCGAGCCTGGCTCTGTGTGGGTCCTGGGATCTAAACTTATGCCTTCACACTTGTGTGATTCACTGAGCCATTTCTCAGCCTCTGTATTTGCTTTTTATCTTTTCTTTTCCTTTAAAAAAAATTAGCAGCGTGTTGCGTGGTGATGCACACCTTTAATCCCAGGCAGAGGCAGGTGGATCTCTGTGAGTTCAAGGCCAGCCTGGTCTACATAGCGAGTTCCAGGCCAGCTAGGGCTACATACAGGGAGACTCCTTCTCAAAAAGACAGAAAAATAAAAAAAGCAACATTGTAGATAGGGTGGAGGTCCTCTCTCTACCTCTTGTTTTCTTTCATCCTCACATCATCTTGAGGGTCAGCTACTAGGAATTGAATTTGCACATATAATTAATTTTTTTCATTTTATTATCATTGAATGCATGTGTATGATGTGTGTGACTGTGATTGTGTTTGCACACCATGATGGGACTGTGAAGGTCAGAGGACAGCTTTGGGAAGTTGGTTCTTTTCACTTTGAGTACCAGAGTTTGAGTTCAGGTCATCTAGCCTTTACTCACTGAGGCACCTCACCAGCCCACATGTATTTTAAAAATATACATTGATATTATTATTATTATTATTATTATTATTATTATTATTGGGGTATTTTTGAGACAGGGTCTCCCTATAGCCCAAGCTGGCCTGGATCTCCCTATGTAGACCAGGCTGGCCTTGAACTCACAGAGATCTGCTTGCTTCTGCCTGGGATTAAAGGTGTGTATCACCATGCTCAGCATTGCTAAGTTTTTTTTTAAAGGAAAAAAAAAAGATGAAAAGCAAATACAGAGGCTGAGAAATGGCTCAGTGTGGCATTTGCCACATAAGTGATCACAGAGATCTGCCTGGCTCTGCCTCCTCAGTGCTGGGATTAAAGGTGTGTATCACCACCCCGGGCCAATATTATTAATTTTTTGTTGAGACAGTGTATAGTTCTGTAGCCTGGGCTGGCTTTGAGTCCTTTTGCCCGAGCTTCCTGAGCGCTTGAATTAGAGGTGTGAGCCACAGCTCCTGGGCAATATTTTAGTATTTTAGAATCTGGGTCTTGTCTTTTCTCTTTTTGAGACAGGGTCTCATTATGCAGCCCTGGCTTGCTTAGACGGTTGTATATAGACTAGGCTACCCCCAGAGTGCTGGGCTTGTAGGCGCGTGCCTCTACAGCTGACTGCATCTAATGTGTTGTTTTTTTAAATGTCAACACTTTAAAATATTTTATTATTTTTATTTTATGTGTGTGAGTGAGTGTATTGCCTGTATGTAAGTGTACCTGTGTCATACAGTGCCCTGGGAGGTCAGAAGAAGGGGTCAAATTCCCTGGAACTGGAACTACAGATGGTTGTAACTACCATGTGGGTGCTGGGAATCAAACCCCGGTCCTCTGCAAGAGCAGTCAGTGCTCTTAACTGCTGAGCCATCTCTCCAGCTCCAAGTTGTTGTTGTTGTTTTTTTTTTTTAATTTATTATTATTTTTATGTGTATGAGTGTATTGCCTGCATGTATGTCAGTGCATCTGTGTCATGCAATGTTGGCAGAGAGATCAGAACACGGTGTTGGATCCAGTGGAACTGGAGTTAGGGATAGTTGTTAACTGCCATGTTGGTGCTGGGAATTGAACCCTGGTCCTGTAAGAGCAGCCAGTGCTCTTAACCACTGAGCCATCTCTCCAGCCCCAAGTCTTAAGTTTTTAAAATAGAATTTTAGAGCTGCCTGAGAGAATAGGGAAATTTTAGAAAATTCTTGTTTGTAATGGTTTAAATTGCAATAAATCTGAATGTAAAAATGCTTGTGGGGATCTGGGCATGGTGGTACATTCCTGTAATCCCAGGACTCAGGAGGGAGAGACAGGAAGATCATACTGCGAGTTCAAGTTCACCTGTGCTTCAGAAAAGTGTGTGGGGGGCATTGAGATTGAGATTTGGTATGAGTGGTGGGTTTTTACAGCTCTAAATGTAGGAGAAAGGAAAGGACCTGTAATGGGATATAGTAAGGAAATTGTGAGCAGTAACATTGTGTGACATAAAGGAATCTTTTTTTGTTTTTTTTTGAGACAGGGTCTCCCTGTAGCCCTGTCTGGCCTTAACTTGCTTTGTAGACCAGGCTGACCTCAATCTCACAGAGATCCACCTGCCTCTGCACTCAGTGGAAGCTTTTTTTGAGACCTAGTCTGTCATAGCCCAGGCTGGTCTTAACTTCTGATCCTCCTGCCTTTACTTCCCAGGTGCTAGGGTTATAGACATTCATTCTCACATCATTCCTGGCTCAGAGGAAGGAATCTTCTGGTTAATAGATTAGTCAGCCCTTTTGGTTTGTAAGGAGGGTTGTTATCCAATTAGATTTCTGGAAGACTGTTCAGTTCTTGGTTTCAGATTGTAGTTTCCTTTTTATTTGAAAACCATTAACTCAATTTTGTTTTATTATGCATTGTATAGAGTTAATTTCAAAATTTCTTTCTCTTTTTAAAGTTCATATGAGAGATCCTAATAATCAACTTCACATAATTAAAAATTTGAAGATAGCAGTAAGCAACATTGTCACCCAGCCACCTCAGCCTGGAGCCATTGGGAAGCTTCTGAATGACGTCGTTTCTGGCAGCCAGCCTGCGGAAGGATTAGTCGCTAATGTGATAACAGCAGGGGATTATGACCTTAACATCAGTGGTATGTAACAAAGGTTATTATTTTGTAAATGAAATTTTCTTCTGTTAGGAAAATAATTCCACATCTGAGAGATCTTTGACCAAGTGCTTAAGAACTTAAGCACAGAGTACTAGAGCTGGGTGCAGAGACCTTGCTGCACAAAGTCTCAGAGATTTCATTTCACTCTGGCACCTAAAGTAACAGCTAGAACACGTGGACAAGTGCTGGCTTCGTGAAAAACTAACAGTAGATACCTTTCTTTTTGAATTTAATATGTAATTACATGAAAATCATGTTATTACACTTTTAATCTTGCTTGGTGTTACTGGAAATGTTTATAAAATACTTGAATTCATGATTTTTTTTAAAGTGCTTAATCTGATTTAGGTAATAAATGTTTTCATTGTAAGATTGATAAGTGAAATAACATTAATAACATAGAGTGAGTTAGTAGTATTTGACCAAATTCCTTTCCAATGTCTGAAGGTCTTAGTGAAAATTTTAATAATAATTATGAAAATACATGAGGTGGATATTTAAAAGGAAAGTATTTAAAGGTGTATAATCTAGGATCTTTCAGCATCTTAAAAACTATTCCTTTTAGGGTGGTATAATTTATAATCTGAAGCTTTTATACTTCCTAACTACATATCTGAAGATCTTCCTGGGTTAGTGAGATGGCTCAGCTGGTAAGCATTTGCCATTCAAACCTGACCCAGGTTTGATCCCCAGAACTCATGTAAAGGTGGGAGGAGAGAACTAATTCCACAGTTTGTCCTCTGACCGCCACACGTGCATTGTGGCATGTGCATGTCCCCACACTTGTGCAATAATAATTCAAAGTTAAAAAAAAAAACCTTCCTTAAGACCTGCCTACAGAAAACTTAACTGGCCAGTTAGGTCACCAAGGTAATTAATCAGTTAGCTTGTATGGTTAGAAATACCTGTAGAATTATTTTTAGTGTCCCATGATTTTTTTCTTTGCCATTAATTTAAACTCCAGCAACATAGATTAACTTGATAATTTCATTTTTATCTTTTTAAATTTTGTGATCTTGGAATTGGATTTTAAAATGCCACTGAGCTGTGCCCATATCCTGATATCATGATATCTTTACCAGTCAAAGAATTTGAATTTTATGATACAGAGTCTGCTTGTTACTTTCTCCTATTCTTTCCCTTTCCCTTTCTGTCCCCTCCCCCAGATCTCACAGAGCTCTGCCTGCCTCTGCCTCCCAAGCGCTGGGATTAAAGGTGTGCATCACTACAGCTCTCTTTTTTTTCTTTTTGAGGTAGAGCTAGCCCTGGATGACCTAGACCTCACAGCATTCTGCTTACCTCTGCCTCATGAGTGCTGGGATTGAAGGTGTGTACCACTGTCACCCAGCTTTTTCTTTTTTTTTTTTTTTTTTTTTTTTGAGACAGGCCTCAAACTTGCTATGTAGTCAAGGGTGACCTTAAACTCCTTGATTCTCCTGTGGCTATCTCCCATGTACTGGTATTTCAGGTGTGCCTTACCACTTCCAGCTTCTGTGAATCTGTTTTATATTTTTTTTTTTTTTTTTTTTTCTTCTTTAGGGACAGGGTCTTGCTGTGTAGTGCTGGCTGGCCTGAAACTTAGAACAATTCTCCTCAGTTTCCTGACAGGCATGTACCACTGAGCTCAGCCAGAGTCTTAACATTTTTGTTTTTCATGTAATAAAAACTAATTGATTTTTTTGCTCTATGCTTTGCCCTCGTACAAAGAGATGTATAAGACAAGAAATGGGACAGCCAAGAAATGGGACACATTGTTAATCAGGAATCTTAGTAATTCCGATTTATAATACATTATAATCACAATGATTAGAGCTGACCTGTCTGGTATGCCAAAGTGCTAAGGGGATCCAGAGAAGAAGTATCTGTCGTGTATGAAAAATCAACTTTATTAATTTTTTTTTGGAGATAGGGTCTTGCTAGGCATCCTAGGTTGGTAGGCTGGCCTGCAACTCACTGTGTAGCTCAAACTGACCTCAAACTCTTGATCTTCCTATCTGTCTCTCTCTGGGTTTCTGGACAGGCATGCACCACCACACCCAGCTAAATATCTGTTTTTGTACTGAAAGTATATCCTGACCTCTAAAGCCCTTCTCCCTTTTCTTTTAAAAAGTTTACTAAAGATGGTATGTACACATAGACATAATGCTAAAAAAATTAGAAGAGTGATTTATTCCCTGCCCACCGGGTTGCTTCTTGTTTTGGGTCTCTGTTTTTTAAGTTCGTTATATATTCTGGTAATTAAACCTCTATCAGATGTATCGCTGGTGAAGATTTAGGAGTGTTGGTTCTTTCCTTCCATGTGGGTCCTAGAGCTTGGACTCAGGTTGCCTGGGTGGCAGCAAGCCTTTTTACTTACTGAGGCATCTCGCCAGCCTTGTGTTAGGTTTTTCTAAGTTCTATTTTTATATTGTTTTCCATTGTTTAATCAGTTTTAACTTTTATAAGTTTCTTGTAACAATAAGGATTTATGTTATTTTTTGGGGGGAGGGGGAGGTTAATTATTCCGTTTTCTGCATCCCCTAATGTAGTTCCAAAATTTCTGGTTAATATTCTACTGCTTATGATACCATGACTAAATATAGTTTACGGTAGGACCAATTATTGGGCTTTCTTTTAAACTATTTTGTTTTTTTTTCTGGAGTTAGTAATAGTCTCTACAAACATCCTTTTCTGAGTGTGGTGGCACATGCCTTTAATCTTAGCACTTGGGAGGCAGAGGCAGGTGGATCTCTCTGAGCTGGAGGCCAGCCTGGTCTACATGGCAAGTCCCAGGCTAGCCAGGGCTTGCATAGTGAGACCGTGTCTTTTAAAAGAAAAAAATATTGCCCAGAGTCCTTTGTGGTCACTCAAACTTCTTCAGTAGAGTCTGAGTTTGTCAGGTTAGTTTTCAAGTAATTCTTTATCAAGATTTCTTCCAGGGGCTGGAAAGATGGCTTAGTGGTTAAGAGCACTGGCTGCTTTTGCAAAGGACCTGGGTTCAGTTCCCAGCACTCATATGGTGGCTAACAACCACCTTTAACTCCAGTTTCAGGGAATTTGATGCCACCTTCTGGCCTCCACGGGCAGTGCATGACACGGGTGTATTTACATACATGGAGGCACAACATTCATATACACAAAATAACAAAATAAATAAAATTAAATTAAAAAAAGAGATTTCTTCCAGAAGTGTACTCTTTCTGTTAAGTGAGTTTCCATTGAGGATCATATCATTCCTCAGTGAGTTGAAAATTGCTTCGGGGCCAGAATTGTTTACTTACAGTCTGGTTTGTGGTTCTCTAAAGGGTCATGTCCATGTATACCTATTATATAATTCCAAAAATGTTTTTGGACCAAGGGTATAGCTTAGTGATTGAGCACATGTATAGCATATGCATGACCCTGAGCTGGGAAAAAATGATTGGAAGGGAGTGATTAGGAGAAAAGCATAAAGGCCACAGGGCATTGGTGGCTCATGCATATAATCTCAGCACTCAGAAGGCTGAGGCAGGAGGATTGCTCTGAGTTCAAGGCCAGCCTGAGCTATGTAGTTAGTTCCAAGTCAGCCTGGAATACAGAATGAGACCTTACCTCAAAAACAAAACAGAGAACATTCATTGGTGGAAGGTAACAGAACCATAGTTGAGAAATGCTGGTCTACTCCATCTTGTACTGGGTGCTCTCCAAGGCACCTCCCACAGTTGTCATCCTAGGGATTTTCTTCTCTCCTGTATTTATTATTTATTTATTTATTTATTTATTTATTTATTTATTTATTTATTTATATTATTGCATGTGTTTGTGTGGTGGTGTGCATGTGGAAGTCATAGCACAGCTTCGTGGAGTTGGCTCTCCTTCTACCTTTATGTGGGATCTAGGAATTGAACTCAAATTGGCAGGCCTGCATTGTTGTGTTGCAGGTGCCTTTGTCTATTGAGCCAGCTACCTGGTCCCCTTTTCTCTATAAATTTTCATTTATATCATGGGGGGAGGAGGGGAGTGTTAAGACAGATGCTTTATGATGTAGGCTGGCCTGGAATTCAGTAGCCCTGGCTGACCTCCAACTCATGGGCAGATTTCTTCTGCTTGCTAGAGCCACCAGGTGTGACTCATACCTGTTTTGATGCGTTTCCTTGATGGGTGGAGGTGACTTGGAGCTTCCAGAGAAAGGTGTACAGAAGATAAAGTTTCTTTCTTGGCTTTTTGAAGATTAAAATTTTTGAGAAGTAAATGTCTGAAAATTTGTTTTATGTGTAGTTTACTGAGGTTTAATTGCATATGTTACCAGCTAGAAATCTTTTCCTTAAGCTTTGATTCTTTTCCTTTTAGCATTACTCTTAAGTTGCCAGAAGCACTAGTTGTACACGCTCCCTTTGTCCATCCACTGTAGGCTTTCAGGAGCTTTTCATCCAGCCATCTTGAACCTTCCTGTTGGGTCTCTTACAGTTCCTTTGCCTGCTGCACTGCCACCCTGTAATGTTGTGCTCATGCCCATACTGTAGTCCCACCTGTAATGGTGTGCCCATGCCCATACTGTAGTCCCACCTGTAAAGGTGTGCCCATGCCCATACTGTAGTCCCACCTGTAATGGTGTGCCCATGCCCATACTGTAGTTCCACCTGTAATGGTGCGCTCATGCCCATACTGTAGTCCCACCTGTAAAGGTGTGCTCATGCACATACTGTAGTCCCAAGCAGCTTCTTTTTTCCTAGAGCTACTCTTGGTTTGTTTTAGAATTTGTTGAGTTGATTCTTTGATGTTCTAATCATTTTTCCTAATACTGCCCGTCTCTGTCTTTTTTTCTTTATCTTCACTTTTATATTGAACATTTTAATGTTTGCTTTATTTTTTGAAAAGAGGTATTTCCCTGATTTATGAGTTTCCAGTTTTTGGGATTAGAATATTAACAGGATATTGATTAATAGATTGTTAATGACCTTTGTTTTTCAGTTTTTATTCTGTGTCTTTTCTGCCATTCATATTAGCTTTCAGTTTACTTTGGT